GCCAGGGTCCCCCCCACCCACTTCCCCTTTGTCGCTTGGGAAGGCCAGGCAGGAAGCCTGCCTCAGTTTCCCTCCGAGGTTCCTGGAAATAATCCACCCACAGTCTTTAAAATAATGCCCCGCTCCGCCTAGGGTCTCATTCAGGAAACCCAGGGCAGCCCTGGCGGTGAGCCTCTTTCACCCAGAGCTAGGCTCTGGGTTTGCTCAGACCTCCTCTGCGGGGTTTGGTGCCGGGGGAGCTAACTCTCTGTTTGTGCCTTGCTCCCAGCCTGTGGGAGTGAGTGTCCACCCCATTTCAGAGTGTCCACCGGGGGCAGCCATATCACCAAGGGAGTGGCCAGCAGAGCTGGGGCTCCACCATCTTGCCTGCCAGCACAACAAGTAAGTAGCTCCACTGCCCCAAACCCTTTCCCCCTCCTGGCCCTTCGCCATAGCACTGAGGGAGGTGAGAAAAAAGGCCCCTGGTAGCTCAAGGAGGACCTGGGGGGAGAGAATAGACCCTTGGTGGCTGGAGGAGGTTTAGGGAGGGGGGAAGAGAACAAGCCCCTGGTAGGCAGGAGTGCCCCTTCTCACACACATCTCCAACCCTCTGCCCCCAGCCTCCTGTCCTGCCCCCCATCTCCCACATCCCCAAAGTCCTTCCCTGAAGGACCTGGGCAACACCAGGTAAGTCTGCTAGTTATTTGTACATTTCACTGGCATTGAATTTACTTAAAGTACTAACATTTAAATTTAAGAGGTTTGTGCTCCCAAGCTAATGAAATATAGAACAATTGACAAGATAATCTTTATCAAAAGCAGAACTTCAGTCATTTAACTGGGGTCTAGGGACCAGATTTTTTAAAACATTTAGGCACTTAAAGATGCTTAATAGGATTTTCAAAAGTGCATAGGTGCCTATCTGCATCGTTAGACACCTTAATAGCTTTCAAAATCAAGCCTTACATCTCTATATCAATGTATGTACTAGAACATTTTGACCATGTTTTCCTTGTATATTGAGGGCTCAGACCATAGCTAGGAGCACTGAATTCAGTATAGAGCGTCCGCTTGTGATCATTAAAGCAAGGGCCGGGTTGGGCTGTGCCAGGGAAAGGGGATGGGCCTGGAATGGGATTCATCCTCATCAGCAACCTCCCTCACTATATCCTTCCATCTTTCCCTGTCCAGTGCGGAGTGGCTTAGTTTCTGTAGACTAGCTCCACACCCATCTACTTTATCATCTACCCATTGTCTGTGGGGTCTGCCTCTCCTATTCGGATCATCCATTACGCCAAATACCAGGGTCTTAACTTTTCTCTTCTTGCTCATTCTGCAGATATGCCCCAATAGCTGTAACTTCCGCTGTATAACCGTCTGTGGTAGGTTCTCTTTCGGCTGTATCGTCCTATACAATTCCTCGTTGGTGACCTTCTGCATCCATCCTAGTCTCAGGATCTTTCTATCACAACTCCTCTCGAACGCCAATATCCTTCTCTTCGAATCTTTCGTTATTACCCATGTCCAGGGCTCGACAATTAAGGTAACCTACTCGCCACGGGCGAGTAGATTATAGCCTGGCACAGCGCCGCAGCGTGGTCTGCGCATGCGCAGCGTGCTGAACTGGGTGGCTGGCGAGCGGGGCTCACCCCGGTTCGTTGGGGGCCATAAAAGATAGATATTGCCAAATTACCTGTGGGGCCATATTAAACCGGAACACGGGCCGCAATTGGCCCACGGGCCGGACTTTGGACATGCCTGCCCTAGAGGCTTCATGACGGAGTTTGGAATGGGCTCGCTTCTCAGAAAACCATAGAGAAAAAAGACAGCCTCACCCTGCAGTTCAAAGGAGCTGGCTGGGAGGGAGGGAGGGGGGGTGACCCCCTCCAGGGCTGCCCCCACCCTCAGCCTCCCACCACAAGGTGACTTTTAAGGAGGGGGGGTGAAGCTCCCCCCGCTGATTCGTACAGGGACATTGCTGGCGGGATTGGTGTTCCCTTTCCCGAGGGAGTTGCAGCGTTTGCTGCATGCCTCACTCTGGCTGGGGAGGGCAGGGGGCAGATGAACCTGGACTTGCCCCAGCCGGGGGACATGCACCCCTCCCCCGGCTGTGCCCGCTGGAGCTGCAGTGACCATGGAGAGGCGCTTCTCGCCTGGCCCCAAGCTGCTGCGGTGAAAAAGAGGATAGAGGTGTCCTCTCTCCCTCCCCTGCCCCACCTCAGAGCCCTGATTCAAATGAAGTCTGGGCGTTTTCATTTTATTTTCCAAAAAATACAAATTAATTGAGTGCAGGCCCCGAGGAACACCAGGCCCATGGGTTAGTTTCCTATACAAATAGGTTACATGCCATGAATGTGGCCTGCAGCCAGCCACAGCCAGGCCCCCATCTCAGTCCCTGAAGGCGTCTCTGCCCTGGTCTCTGGATTCTGCCCTCCCTTCTCTGCCAGGGTTGCTGCCATCAACTCAGCCGGTTACCCCCGGGCTCGGTTATTGGCCCTGTCCTCTGAGCCCGGCTCAGCCGAGGCCGCCGAGCTCCCTGCAGGGCTGACCTGGACGGGCACGTTCCTCTCGGGGGCGGCTGCTGGGGGCAGGCCCGGGGCTTCGATGCGCAGCTGCCCCTCCCCGGAGATGGAGCAGGCCAGGCGGTCGGTGTCCACGCCCTCGGGCACGTCCCACTCCCTCCTGAGCACCTCGTACTTGTAGGAGAAGGCGCCTTGGCCGTCCTCGCGCTGCGTCTCCTTCCTGCCCGTCAGCAGCAGCTTCCTGCCCACCAGCTTCAGCCTCAGCTCCTCGGGCGCAAAGCCCCGGACGTCCTGCCGCACGGCGAAGGGCTGGGGCGGCGCCTGGCCGGAGCTCTGGCTTGGCTCCCCAGCGCGGCCGGCGCCC